CCAGAGATACACTGGCTTGAATTCTGAGAGATTATAGACAAATATTATTACCGGTAAGTCCACTTCAGAGCTCATGGGTTTGCACTATTAATAAACCTAAAATAAAAACCAACAATAAACTGATTCTTCTCTGAAACGTTGCTCCTTGTGGAGATTTGAAACTACTGGAAGTCTCACACTGAGGTTTTATTCTGAGCCCTGCTTGCCGCTCTAAGCCACAGAGCCGGAGCCATTAATCCATCATTGATTTGTGTTCAGAAAGGCAACCATCAGATTAAAGACTCACAATTCAAACATAGTGAAAGTGCCAATGAATCCACCTTCAATCGATGTTCTGTGAGGTGACCGGACCCTGCTGAGGTTCTCCCAAAAGAACATTTTTTAAATTAAACGAGAAGCGGAGAACAATCTTCTTTGTTTCAGACCTCTGAACCACCGGCTGCGTCTGACTGTAACGAGAGCTGCGCTCATTAACGGACAGGTTCACCTGCAGGGGAGAACCAGTCGATTTAAATTTAAGATTATAAACGGAGAAGTCGAGATGAGATTGAAGCAGGATTTTTGTCCGATGCATTTATCCCCTTTTTATAGTTACAGCTTATTACAAGTTCGGTTGCCTGGCAGCAAAGAGGCCTAGTGTCATGGTGGACAGACTTTTTTTATCCACTGTTGGAAGAAGATGGTGAGGAATAATGCTTTTTGCTTGTCTGTTAGCAAAAAATCTCATGAACCACCTACACCTACAACTGTTAAGCTTTGGAGCCAACTTAACTCAAGATGTCTGCTACAGCCCTCTGACCTTCAAAGGCACAAAAACTACTCTAACTGTACAGACATGGAGCTAAACATGGGTGGTGGTAGCTGAGACAGTTTTAAAACTGAGGCCTCGTGGGTCAGTTTGACCCAAGGGCAGCAGGAGGGTTAATCTGACTGTCCTAATTCAAGTCAGAGAAAAGATTGTTGAAAAGTCACGGGATGGAAACAAAATGATTCCCAAGGCCCTAAACATCCCAGGAGTCCTGTTAAATCCATCCTCAAGAAATGAAGAGAATATGGGAACACGTGTGAATCTACCAAGAGCGGGTCGTCCTAAAAACTGAGTGACTGTGAAGGAGAATACTGAGAGACACATATGAGCACTCTGAAGGAGTTAATCTTCAGCAGCTGAGACAGTGGAAACAGAGCATACAACAACTGTTGCCCAAGTTCTTCATCTGTCCAAGTTTTATGGCAGAGCAGCAAATTGAAAAACTGAAGAAAATTAAGATTAAATCCGACACAATCTACACAGACTCAAGACAGAACTGATAATCTTACAGACATTGAGCTGTGGTAGTAGCTGAGAGTCGTTTACAACACGTACTCTGAGCTCCATCACATCTCATGAGATCGAACATGAGACGATGAGCAATGTTCAAATCTGACCAAAACACCACAAGATGATTTCAGGTTCAAACTGCAGGAAGGCGTACGCCAGGTCTTCTAGTCTTTACAGTTTGCTCCCTGCACACCTGGCTCTTGTTACCAATTAGCACACCTGTTCTTTGTTATCTTCTGTCAGTTTGTTATAGTTTTAACAAATGCCCGGTTCTTCTTTTATTCCTGCATTCTCCAGCTCTGCATTGCTTGGTTGCTGCAATAGAAGCTCCTTTGTCTCCAGATAATCTAATAACGTCCTCCTTACCTCCTGCCTGCAAGTCTGGATCTGGTTCTTCCCCTCATGCGAACCTGACTCTTATTTGAAACAAAAAGACGACCGTCTCCTCTCCGGGGACGAACTTCTCAGCTCCTGCAGAGGAACGTCACGGTGTTCCCAGGACGGATGATTACTAACCTTTAACACGCTCTCTGTGTGCGCTCGAGCATCTCCTTCAATCAGAAAACTTCTCCAACGTGGTTTCTGATCAGATTCCTGACTCATCTGTTTCTCTCAATGAAAAAGAGGCGCTGCTAAGATTACCGGTCTCCTCACTGTAAACTGCGTTAAAAACAAATCAAAGCAGTCCTTTACTGCAGTTCCAGGATATTTTGGCTCATGTTCATGCAGTCGACAAGAAGCCTGAATGTGAAAAAATAAACCTGAAGGAAGATTTAGTCGGTCGTTCACACTAAATTTTTAAACAGCAGATAGAACCCCATTAATACATGATACTGTAGACGTTTTAGCTACGCTTGGAAAATTATGCTATTTTTACCTCCCTGACTTGTCTTGAGCTAAAACATGAAACTTGTATCAGAATCTTAGCACAAAATCAAATGTGTGCGTGAATAAAACCGTTGATGTGACAGCTAAAAACAAAACTTTATTAAAGGCACTTTAAAGCCTCAAAAGATTCAAAGGTGCTAACGCTAAACAGCCGTCAGGCTAACATGGCTAAGGTAAGCAAATAAGGGAGATATTTTTTACAAATCAGATGTTTAGGTTAATAAAACTGTTAATAGTTTGGCTAAAATCAGTCATTTACTTAATTTTTATGCATATTATTTAAAAAAAGTCTCAACATTTTAATTTGGGTGTGAAAAGGAAGCTGTGCTAACGCTAAAAGTGAGGCAGGCTAACAGGTTTTACTTTGCTAACGCAAATAAAGAGACAGTTAAATAATCAGAAGATAAGGCTGTGTTGGTTATTAAAGCTATTAATATCATGGTATCATTAATATCAATATAACTGCTTATCTTAAGTACAAAAATAAAATTAAAAGCATCGAGTGTAAAGCTCAAAATCTGTTGAGAATTAGAAGCTTTAAAGGAGCTAGAGCTAGCGGGAGCTAGGCTAACAGGTTTGTTATGCTGCAGGTAGCTGCCAAGCTAATAATTAGCTGCCGCTCTTTTCTTGACATTCTCCATTAGAGCATCATTTGTCAGCATAGATTATGACATAAACTGTAGGGATTAAAAAAAAAACATCTGTGCTAGCATCAGAAACTGCTTGTTCTTTTCTTATTTGTCTCATTTAATCTGAAACAGCTAGGCCTGTCATAACAAATTTTGCTGGACGATTAATTGTCTTGGAAATTATCGCGATAAACAACAATTTTGTTTGAAATTTGACAATAATTAGTAATTATTGTCAAATTTAAGAAGAAATGTTTAATTAGTTTTGCATGTAGTACCTTTTTTTAAACACTGGATGGCAGTATAAGACTGTCTGAACCGAAGGATGGATAGTGAGGGAGCGAGCAGCGTGTCTCTTTAAGAAAAATGGGAGGGAGGCACCTTGACGTGACATGGGCTGTCTCTATGTCCTTTTTTTTTGGTTCTCAAAATGGCGGACACTCTGTGGTTTGAGCTCTTTAGCATTGTTCACACAAAGCTTTTAATAAAAAATCAGTAAACAAGTTATCAGCTTCTTTTTGCAGAGAAAAACAACTTTTTACACAAAGGAATGGGTTTTAACTGTGAATTTTGGAGTTTCGACAAGACTGAGGTTTTTTCCCCCCAAGGTCGGCCTGTTAGCTTAGCTCGTAGCTTAGCTGCTTTTAACGATCCAAAAACATGATTTTGGATCGTTAAATGGATTTTAAAGAGAAAAGAGAAAGGGAGGGTTCAGTGAAGAACCAGAGTTGAGCTTTTTGTCGTCCAGTGTCTTCAGTAGAAAGAGAGAGACACAACGATAAAGCTGATAAATGGAAATGAGATGAATAATTTTCATTTATCATGAGATTAATTAATTTATTTATCACGACAGGCCTAGAAACAGCTGCTATGAAATGTTACTGAATCAGTGGTTCTAAAGATTCGTCTTTACACAATTGTCTACTTTTCATGAAAACAGACAAAAGTTATTTTTCTGTTTAATAACGCACGACTCCTTTAGCTGAGTAGGTAAAAATAAAACGGTCAGGCTGAGTTCAGCAACACAAAAATTAATCTGTATAATGCTGGTTACGCAAACTAAAACTAATGCATATTAATCCTTATTAATCTACAATACCTATATTTACTGCTGTTAGTGAGGGTTAGAAAATCTGCAGCCATTTTTAACCAAAAAGAAGATGAAATATTTTAGCTTGATTAATATTGGTGAGATCAATGGAACAGACGTATATTGGTTTTTGTGGCGTTGTAAGATAAAATCTACATTTTAAGTGCGTGACAGAGTTCAGATGTTTCCTAAGGATAACAAATAATCGTAGAATACATTATTTATCGAGGTAGACTGTTGAATGTTTGGTGACGACAGATGGTCCATTCATGTGTCCACCATGAAATTCTCTCTTTTACAGCCAACACGAAGCCGTCAGAGGTCCGAATGTTGCCGAACCGATTTGGGTCAGAGTGTTCATTCTGTCGCTCACTCCTAATTAAAACGAGCACCCATCACCATCATCATCATCACAATGCACCATCCAGGTGGAGGCTGAGGCAAAAAACAAAAGCAAAGCAACAACAGCAACGTGTGATTGGATCAAATCTGGAGCAGAACCGGATCAGAACACGTCCCCCGGGACACCAAGGTGGAGAAAAATCCTGCTGCTGGTGGCTGTTTTAGGGATTTGACCCACTTGGGTCGGCAAAAGAAACAAAACTAGCGCTCCTTGAAGAAAAGCACACCACCTAACACGCCGTAAATGAACGACTCTCAGCTACTACCACGGGAAATATTAGCTCAGTTTGTGTAACAGTTGCTGAGTTAGAGCCGTTGTTGTGTTTGCTAAGGTCAGCTAACAGTTTTATGATAATCTGTCCAGCTGCTCATGAGCTTCTGTGCTAGAAAAACACCTCTACAACCTGAGATGTGGTCCACATACAGAAACAGACTCCACGGAGTGATGCCTGATCTGCAGAACGTTTTATTTTTTATTTTTCTCCCCCAGAGTCTCTTTAAGGACCGAATCATTCAGGAACCAACCCCTGAATCCAGAGGAAAGTGAAGCGTCTCCTTCCACTCCGTACGTTTGCCTCTGTTATTGAGATCGAAGTGCAGGTTCCCCGCTCAAAAAGGCCCCATCCATCAGGGGGTACGAACACAAACAGAACACCGCCGTGCCGTGTCTTACCTCCTCGTTAAGGATGGCCTTGCACATGGAGTAGTTCCCCTTCGGCGCCCACGTCCCGTTGGCCAAACATTTTCTGTAAACATTATCTGCACAGAGAGCAGGAGAACAACAAACAGAACGTTACTCACACGGGAGGACTTGTTCCACTTCCATTCAGGCTGAAACACAAACGGGCCGATAGTGTTTGGGCTGTTTGTGTCCGTCTGGTACCAAAACTGGTTTTTGTTTTAAATCAAGTTGTACTGAAATGAGCAGAACGTGATCATAGATGAACTCCTTCGGCTGATTATTATTTAAAAACCACCCTGACTCAAAACCACAGCTAGATGACCTTAGAAAACATAAAAAAGGCCAAATCTGATACTTTATCAAGTTTTTCTTTTCTTAAGCTAATTTTAGCTACTGTTCTGCCACTTTAATCTAGTTTTGCTAAGATCTTTAGATAATGCTATGTTGATTTAAAATGTTTCAGCCAGTTTGCTACATTTTAACTATATATTTTTATTCCAAATATCTGCTTTGCTAATTTATGTTGCTGTTGAGCTCATTTTAGCTTTTAGCTACAATTTTATAGTTTCAGCTATAATCAATATGATTGGTCATTTTAGCTATTAGCTACTGTTTTGCTGATTTTGAGCTTTTCCTTATAAATGCATCTATTTAGCTCATTTTAGCTTTATGCTGTGTTATTAATCCTAAATGTGAAGTATTTTTAGCTCAATTTAGCTTTTAGAGACAAATCAGCACAATTTAAGGTTTTATTATGTTTTTTCCAATTGTAGCTGTTAGGTACTGTTTTAGCTGAAGAATTGCTGATTTTCTTTTCTTTTCATGGTTTAAATTTAACAACTGACATGAACAATCACACGAAGGACGACATGGATGACATAAATGAAGTTTCAACATAAAGGATGACATTAAGGATGGTATGAAGTTTCAACAGAAACGACATGAAGGACGACATGAAGGACGACATGATAGACGAGATGAAGGGCGAGATGAAGGACAACATGAAGGACGAGATGAAGGGCGAGATGAAGGGCGAGATGAAGGACAACATGAAGGACAACATGAAGGACGAGATGAAGGACGACATGATAGACGAGATGAAGGGCGAGATGAAGGACGACATGAAGGACGAGATGAAGGACGACATGATAGACGAGATGAAGGGCGAGATGAAGGAC